GGTGTGCCTCTAGGCCCAAGGCTGCATGTCATGTTGCTCACGGGCAGGTCATGTCAGTCCATTGACATATTCATCAACTCAATTATTAATTCATTTGCCAAATATTTTTAATGCCTAGTATATGCCATTCCAGTCTCTGAGGATGTGATGACAAATATGACACAGTCCTTGTCCTTAAGGTGTCCCTATTAAGTGAATGAGTTTACATAAAAACTCTATATTTTATGAATGGAGATACATCAGTATTCTAGAAAGAAGATGCAGTATGTCCCCATAGTGGCATCCTTCCACCTATCCCCCAAAAACCTCTTGACGTATATATCAAAGCAAAAATATATTAATCAGTATTTTAGTTGTTTATTGTATAAGCACACATATTGCCTCTCTCTCATATCCTTGTCATGGATTAGAATGACAAGGCTTAAAGCCCATGGGCTCCAGGTAACTCTCCCCTACCCCCAACTTTCCCTTCAGTCTGCTCTACCTGTTGTGTAGAGTTAGTCTTTCCTAGAGGGTCATTTAGCCAGAACTCCTGTTTAGAGGAATGCTGAAAAGAAGGGTAGCATCGCAGGAACTTAAATGTAGCGATTCTTTAAGACTGGAGAGTTATATAAGAGTTTCCTTCTCAACTGAAAGAGGAAAGGTCTTTTAGCGGGTGGTGGGGATAGTGAAAGGTGAACAATTGCAGAACACAGTCAATTTAATTTAACATGCATGTCTCACATCCTATTCTGTGCAAAGTGCTATATTCTTATGTGAGTATGAAAGTGACTATGACCTGCCCTTCCAGGTAGGGTGTTCCTTAACTCTTGGACATAGGGAGAAATACACTTGTAATTTCTAACAAAGTCAGGCAGGTGCTAGTGAAGAGAGATAACCATAGCTCAATCATCTGGAGAACTGGGAAAGCAAAGGTTAAGTTTAACAAAAATTAATGTATATATTCTGATTTAGGTAAATATTAGGGTGTATCCCTATTTCTACCTGCTTCCTGTGCCTTCTCTACAATGGGCTTTACTCTTTAAATGTTTAATTAAGAACATGAGAAAGAAGTGATAAGACTTGATAAACATATACTGTATGCAACCACCATCACAAACACAGCATAGAACAGTTCCCTCACCCCAAAATGTCCCCATGTGCCTATTTGCATTGCAGTCCATACCCTCTCCTCACCCATTGTCTACTGACAATCACTTTTATCACTATAGTTTTGCCTTTTCTACAACTTCAAATAAATGGAATTATAGGTAGTCTTTTGTTTCTGGCTTTTTTCTTTCTTTTCTTTTCCTCCCCTCAAAATCCCCCAGTACATAATTGTATATTCTAGTTGTAGGTCCTTCTGGTTCTGCTGTGTGGGACACTGCCTTAGCGTGGCTTGATGAGCAGTACTAGGTCCATACCCCGGATCCGAACTGGTGAAACCCCGGGCTGCTGAAGCTGAGCACGGAAACTTAACCACTGGCCATGGAGCCAGTCCCTGGATTTTTCACTTAGCATAATGCTGTTGAGATTCATTCATGTTGTGAGTATCTGTAGTTTGAATTATTTTATTGATGAGTAGTGTTCTGTCGTATGGATATACAATTTCTTGGCCCAATCACCAGATGATGGACACTTGGGTGCCTTCCACTTTTAGGCCACTGTGAATAAGATGCAATAAATATCCAGTTCACATTTACATCTTTATATGGCCATAGGTTTTCATTTCTCTTGGGTCTAGGACTGAGACCTCTGGGTCATATGGTAGGTGCACGTTTAACTCTTTGAGAACTTGATGAACTGTTTTACAAAATGGCTGTATCATTTTGTACTGCTACCAGCAGTGTGTGAGTTCCTGCTGTTTTGCATCCTTGGCAACATTTCCTGTTGTTAGCCATTCATTTTAGCCATTCTGTTGCATGCATGGTAGTATCTTATTGTGGTTTTAATTTGCATTTCTCTGATATGAATGTCTTTTCAAGGGCTTGTTTGCTACCCACATATATTCTTTGGTGAAGTGTCTGTTTAAAACAAATGTATACAATAGAAATTTGTGCTAGACACTTGCTGTGGACCGATTGTGTCCCCCTCGAATTCATATGTTGAAGTGCTAAGCCCCAGTGAATCTGTATTGGAGATCGGCCCTATAAGGAGGTAGTCAAGGTTAAAGAAGTCATAGGGTTGGCCCTAAAATGAGAGGATTAGAGTCCTTATAAGAAGAAACACCAGACAGATCACTCTCTCCCCCTCTCCATCACGTGAGGACATGGTGAGAAGGCAGCCATCTATAAGCCAGGCACTGTGCCCTCACCAGAAACTGAATTGCCTGACACCTTAATCTTGGATTTTCCAGCCTCTAGAACTACGAATAAATAAATTTCTGATGCTTAAGCCACTCCTTAGAGTATTTTGTCACAGCAGCCTGAGCAGAATGATATAACACTGGAGAAATTTTGGAGTCTGAATGCTATAGAAACTTTTAAGATATTGGCATAAATATTAGTGTTAATCTGAAAAAGATCCAGAAATGAATTCTGATTCTTCCAATTACAAGGCATGTGAATTTTGGCAAGTTACTTCATTTATCAGAGCCTCAGTTTCCTCATCTGTACAAATGCAAATATTATATCTGCTTCCTAGATTTTCTGGAGAGAATTAAATAAAAAATATGTCTAGTACACCTAGTGTAGTACCTGGCATGAGCTGGTGTTCAGTAGAGAACATTAGGTTCCTCCCTTACCCTAAAACAGCAGTACCTAAACTAAACTCTGCTCCACTGCTTCCTGAATGCTCTTGGAATGACTCAGCAGAGAAAGGTTGTGGATACCTTCATGTGTATTTTATATAATATCCCCAAGAGGTAATACTGCCTGGGTAGGAGTGTTAGTTTAACCTTCAACCCCAAATTTAAAAACGGCCTACTTACTTAATTTTGAACTTACATCTTCCAGAAGCAATGATAGCCACCTTTCCCCTCCCTCATAGGAGAAAGGTAAAATAATTTCACTTATTTCGTCATCCAACAAAACTGGAAGGAAGTTTATTTTTTCCAATGTACAAATGGGGAAAATGAGGCTGAGAATGGTTAAGGGAACTTCTCAATGTCACAGAACTAATAAATGTCCTACAGGGGACTCAAGTCAGAGGCTGCTTGTTGACAAAGCCCCCATTCCTTCCCCAGCACCACAGTGTTTGTTGTAAACCTTGAAGGCTGCTTCTGGAAATGGCTGGAGAAGGAGGGCAATGTTTCATGCGTCAGGCCCACAGTCGTGTCCAGCGTGTTTCCTAAGGTGGATTTTCCACTTGGTCCCTCCTTCCCTTCAGCAGGAAGATGTGAAACAGCCACAATTTAGCCCCAGGTGCTCTTGGCTCAGCAGAAGGAGTTCTTGGAAAGCTGGCATGGATGTTTCTCTGTCCCACACTTACAGTAATTACAAATAAGGGTTACTTTATGTGGTTGCTCCCACCCTATAATCTTGTTTTCAGTTGCCAAGATTAGTAAATTTGAGCTTTGATCACTGGGTTGGATTGCAAGTCTAGAGTTATTTTGATCGTAACTTCTCTGAATTTCAAAATTAATTTTAAATATTCATTGTTGCCATACATCAGTTTCAGAATTTGCTAGCCTGATTTCAACTATCCATCCTCTATCTCTTTCAGTGGACCTTTGGAAGCCTTTGTGATTAAGATCTTTAGTTTTGTTTTTCCTTTTGTTTTTTTTCCTTCTTTTTCTTCCTTCCTTCCTTCTTTCTTTCTTTCTTATTTTCCTTCCTTCCTCCCTCCCTTTTTTTCTTTTTTTGAAGTCAAGCTGAATTGAATTATGTAAAGACTTAAGAGGCAATATTTGCAAATAGACCTATAATTATCTTAAAAGTAAACGAAAAAGCTATTTATACCAGCAGTCACTGAAATATACATGTTTAGAGTGGAAAACATTAGTAATATGGAGATGATCCATAAAATAAGACGGCATCTCCAGGTATTAAGACAGAACTGTATTAGCTAGATTTTAAAAGAAAACTTTGAGATTGAAGATATGTGATATTCAATCCCTATTAAAAGAGCTCTTAAAGTGAATCCTTAAGCTATCTTGTATTTATCAAGCTCAAATAAACTGACCATGGATTTAACTCTGTGCTATGGGGTTGCCAGACAAATAATCAAGACCTTAAGGCCTGTGAGAATAAGATGGTGGCTAGCTTATCCTTGTTTCTCCAAAGGATCTGGCACAGAAAAGATACTTAGTAAATATCTGTTGAATGAAGGCCAAGTTGGTTGCAAAGGTAAAAATTACATACGTGAAACGAATCTTTTGGGACTTTGTGGTGTATCAGTTAGAAATGTGCTGGTTGCAGCAGCAGAAAAACCAACAAAATAAAGTTGCTAAAACTAAAGGGAATGCATTGCTTCACAAAAGGCCCATCCCTATGGCCTTGTGGATAAAACCCGGCAACTGGCTTAGCCCTAGTCTTGTGCTCCGACTCTTGAGCCAGCTTGTGGCATCAAGTCCCCTAGAACAAGTTGGGGGATGGAAAGAAGAAGGAAGTGTGCTGGATGACAAAGACAAGAAATCTCGAAGTGCATGCCGGGGGTATGTTGAGTGCTGCAATTCTTCAAAGAGGCGGAGGGCATCTGGGTGGATGTGATGAGAATACTTTACAGAGAGGCCATATTTGTGTCTGGTACATAGACTGAATTTATGTAATTTTACAATAAAGTAAGATAAAGTTATTTTGCAAGAACTTTGACAGAAACTTGGAAAATCAAAAAAAGCAAATAAAAATTTTACTGTAAGGTACATGTAACCACCACTGTTATTTGACATATTTACTTGTACTTAAAAATTCATGCTAATATATACAAGTAAAATAACATATGTAATGTGTGTATGTATATGCATAAACATATGCTTATATAATTAGGATCGTAACATAATTCTATTTGTTTATATTACCTAATTAGGATCAAGGTATATATACATTTTTTGGTGCTACTTTTTCACTTAATATTATATTTAGGAATTTTCTTAATTCATTGACAATTCTTCTAAAATTATTTTTGATTGTTGAATTACATAATCTATAGAAATTAAGAAGTAGGGAGGATAAGAGACGCAAAGAAAACTTAGGGCATTTTCATGGGATATTACATAGTCTTGTGGAGAAAGATATAATTTGGAGAGATAGAATGAACCCTAAAGTTAGGCAAAAAGATAAAGTGGGTTCTTGAAAATCAAGTAGAGAAGTTTAGATTTGATACTGTAGGAAAAGGAAAATCTTCAAAGTTTTTTCCTCAGAGGTTCTTATGATTTGAGTTAAGCTAACAGTAGGTTAATCAGCCAAAATTATTCAGGATCAATATGAGGAAGCACATAGATTTTTTATTTTGAGATCAGAAAGAGAAGGGAATTAAAGCATGTTGCTTTCCCACTTTCCCACTGTGTGCCACGCACCATGCTAGATGTCCTATGTAAGAAACACAACATGTGTTCTCCCATAGGATGGGAGAATTGAGCAATGCTGTGTTCAAATCCCGTATCTGCCACATCTAGTGTGATCTAGGGTGTAGGACTTAACTTCTCTGAGCATGAGTCTCTTCACTTGAAAACAGGGATGGTAAAGCTTACGTCACAGAACTGTGGTGAATTCTGAATAGCATATGTAACATGCTTTGTACAGCATGCACAAAAATAATGCCTATTTGTCTTCCTTTTCCTCCACAAATGATGATGGGATATGACAGGAAAAATGGTTCTCAAAGTTGGCTTCACAATGGAATTTGACTGGCTTTAAAACCCACTGATGTCTGAGCCCCACATCAGAGGTCTGTGGGAGTGTGGAAGACTTGAAAATCTTCCCAGGTGATTCTAATGCGCATTCAAGATTGAGAAACTCTGGACCAAAAGTTCAAGGAAAGAACAAATCCCACACAGTTTATGTGGGGAGTTGGTAAGATATCAGAATTAAAAATTCACAGAATAAATTATCACTGTGGAATGGCTAAGGCAGTCAGACGGAAAATTGCCGTTGGCTGAGTTTACTCTGCATCTCTGTAACATTTCTTAGCAGTGCACCCTGACCAAGGAGAAGGATGACGGAAGGCCAATGGTGGATGTGTTCCCTATCTGAGAACACCACAGAAGGTCAGAGCCTTACCATTCTCTATGCTGTGGTATGATTACTTACCTACCTGTGCAACAACTTGATGGTAGGGAAGTTACCCAGGAAGTAACACCTAATAAATTGACCAAGAACATAATTACAGTGGCAGGCCCAGTCATGTAGTGGTTTAGTTCATGCACCTGCTTCTGTGGCCCAGGGTTCATGGGTTCAGATCCCAGGCGTGGACCTACACAGTGCTCATTAAGCCATGCTGTGGTGGCATCCCACATACAAAACAAAGGAAGATTGGCACAGGTGTTAGCTCAGTGACAATCTTCCTCAAGCAAAAAAAAAAAAAACCCAAAACAGGAAGATTGGCAACAGATGTTAGCTCAGGACCAATCTTCCTCACCAAAAAAAAAAAAAAAAAAGAGCAGAAGTGTATTTAATTCAGATGGACAACACAACCAGCATGCCCAAGAAAAGTCTTGAACTTTTGAAGGGTCTCTCCCTGGAGCTCAGTCTGTCCGATAGCCTTGACTCGCCAATGAGTCTCCTTCACAGGCACTGTGACCTTCACCAAGGGCCTTGTATAAACGGTGAAGTAGGGAGGCCAATCATGCCCCCACCTTCCAGACAAGCGGAGTCAGTCCTGGCAACCAAAGAGATGGCAGAATCCATTGCCAAAATGCCTCATAGCCAAGAGCAGCAAAGCATCTAGAAGATCCAGATATTAGTCTCAATTCTTCACTCTCTATAACACCCTGCAAAATTCACTTCACTTATCTGGCCCTGATTTCCTCAACTATAACACAAGAAGGTGGAATACATGACCCTGTGGGCTTCCACCGGCTTTTCAAAATGAAGAGCAGGTGAGGGTAGACATGCAAACAAGGCTCCTTGCAGAGAAAGATCCCTGAACATTAGAGATGCTTACTAAGTACTTCTTCGTGGAGGAATCAATGCCTTTATTCTCAGTGAGTCTCCCCGTCTCTCCTCTTACTTAGGTGCATCTGGAAGCCAGTCGAGTATTGTGGCTTCACAGCTTGCGTGGAACTTCTCGTTCTCTCACTGATGAGCTGTGGAACTTTCAGCAAATTAGCTAATGTCCCTGTGCTTCTGTTTCCTCATCAGTGATCTGGACATCATTACATCCCACAGCATCTCAGCGGCACTATGAAGCTGTGTGAGTCAAGGCAGACAGAATGCCTCACGCAGCGATGGGCACGTAAGTCTTAGGCCCTCTATCATGCAGGTTCTCAAAATCTATCTTTTCTGTGTCTGTGTTTCTACCTTTACAAAATTGCATCATAACATACTAGTTATCTATATCATAACTATTTTGTCCTTTCTGGAAAATATTTCTTTCCTAATGCCTACAAGAAAGCTGAACACACAGTGAAGGTACTGTGATACTGATCATAGCAATGACATGGCCGGAAAGGCCAAGATTTCTGCCTTGCAGAGAACAGGATCCAGACAAAGTCGTGCAGGAGTTCTGCTGTGGACCTACTGCAAGACTTGGAGGAGTCAAGTAACTATCTCAGTATTCCAGAATGTTAATGTTAAAATGGGAGCAACAAGCATTTTGAGGAGTAATGTCAATGAAGAGTGATGCTTCTTACATAGCTAGAAAGACAGAAGTATAAATTATTAATGCATTTGATAAAGATTTCTTAAAAGATCAAACTCCAAGTCTTTTCTTCCAAGTCTTTAAAGCCTTTTTCTGCACTGGGGGATTTTTCACTTACTGCTGGCAAGTCCTCAAGGTGATTTGAGAAAGGCATCTTGCAGACTGGGAGGCGGAGAAGTCTGCCTCACCCCCATCAGCCCCGTGAGCTGCGACTGCAAGCACACGTGCACGCGCACACACACACACACACAATCCTTCAAGAAAATGAATGACTGAACGTGGGGCTCACATGCGTCTTTGCAGGCACCATCCTAGTGACCCCAGATCCTTCACACGTCTAAGTCCTACACAGAAAGGAGTAGCGGCTGTCCAAGGCTTCCAGCAGGTGCGGAGGAGGGTCTCCCACACTGCACATCCTGAGCCCGGTTCCCCTTCCATTTATTTCCGTGGCACTGACTATGTGTGCAGCGAGCCGTGCTGCAGCGGAGATACCCCAGAGAAAGAGGAAACCCGTTGAGCTATTTTTCACCATTACATACTTCACTTCCTAATAAATGAGATCCAGAGCATGCAAACAGCCAGTCTTGTAGGTCATCATCTTAGGGAAAATCACAGACCTAACGCAGCACAAAGCAAAAAATAAATAAACCCAGAGGAGAGCCATTCTGGAGAAATTTGATACCATAATTCTCTTCTCATAGCATTCTGTCCCTCCCTAGAAGGTTTTGTGCCTTGGAGATCTATCAGGGCTCTAAGGGTGGTTGAAAAATAAAAAAGTGCTAGATCTTTCTCTGTCCTCATGCCAGCTTATTTTCCCCAGCAGAAAGAGATTTATTTATATGTAAGAGCAGACAAGTTGAGACCAAGTCATATTTCACCTGATTCAAGCCGTGTGATCACTGATCGGTAAGGGGCATGACTTATGAGGGTTTTATCAGCTACCTATGCCAAGCAGCACATCAGAATCTGTATTTCAGGGCTGTAACAGTGCTGGAGTAAGTGGGCACGTGACATGCCCATCCTTGCCCAGCAGAGCTCATGGATTCTCTGGCGCCTTGGCTTTTGGTGGCCTTTTCCAGTCTCTGGGCTTTTCCTTGTTCCTTCAGAGGAAAAGCCCACATTTAGATGCAACTTTGAAAGTTGAGGTCACGAGCACTGCTCGCTGTGTCAACTCAGGGAATCAGTGGACAGTAATGCAATCTCCCCATGTTCACCAGGGAATATAATATTTCACACAGAAAATAGCAAAATACTCCCACGGCCCCGGGACAATATCCTGAAGTTGTTTGAGGTGAAAGAAAATAACTGTCTTTGGGGCAAAAGAATTTAGACTCTTTAGCAGCAAACTTTTGTTGCCTTTTGTCTGACACCATCTGAATATTTATTCAGGTCTATTCCAGGTTAGAAAAGGGAATGGCTCTCGCGCACAATCTTGTGAGATTTCTTTGCCCATTTTTTGTTGGCCCTAAAGCCATCTGAGATGATAAATGAGGCTTTTCTGGCCAAAGGCTTGCAATTTCCTATTATATTTTAAAACGACACCTGGTGGATCTCTAAGCCTCTGGAAAATTCTCAATGCTCTGTCCTCTTATTTGGACAGTCCTAGGGGAAAAGAGAGAAGATCAAGCTAGGTCTTAATTTCTGAGTATTATCTGTTCGTGGATGCTAATATTCAGAGAAATGGAAAGCAGCTACTCTCCTGGTTAAGGGAACTAGTAGAGGAAAGCCCACTATCTAAACTATGTGTGAACTGGTTCCCAGTTTTTTTCAGTGGCTAAAACACTATCCCTCCTAACAACTAAGCTTCATTTACCCTTTTATAAAATATAAGTACTAGAGGGATGTGTGAGACTTTAATTCCTTAAAAATGTCACATCCTTTTCCTCCCCAGCTGAAGTGACCCAGACAGCTTGAGGGTGAGAGAAGAGAGTGAAAAGGAAGCCGAAACAAGAGCACTAGGCCACCATTTCTCTCTTATGCCATCTTGATACTTGCCGCGATGCTGAGGGATGTGGAAGGAAAATCAACCAACTGCAATTCAAGAGACGGGGGTCGAGATGTACATGATTCTACAGAAGTCATCCAACAGTTCCGAGTTCTACTCTTCTATGTAAAATAGTGAAATGATATTTACGCTTTCTAAGTCTTGAGCTTGTTAGGGGGAAGATTTGGGCAGACTCTGTTTCACAGCTCCTGGTCACAGGGCAGCCATGACAGTTCTGTCTTTGCTTTGGTTTAATAGGAACACGTGACTTCTAGCCAATGGAATGTTAGTGGAAGGATGTGTCGGATAAAAATCTCTGATGAGTGATCCTCCATGCTGATTTCCCAAATGCCAACCGAATGTAGAGGTTTCCAAGGCCTAAGAGGAGGACAGAATCACGCAATAGGAGTCTGGACCCTCAAATTGCCATGAGGAAGGCTGTGTTCGAACCAAGAACACCTGTGTGGGACTTTACAGAAGTAAAAATAAACTTTTTTGTATGTTAAGTCACTGAAGTTTCATGGTTTGTTTATTACAGCACTTAGTATTACCCTAATTAATGCGAGGATCAAGTGGGGAAAAAATGGATTTAAAAACATTATGCAAACTCTAAAATACTGTACAGATTTAAGGGTTTTTACTGGCTTTGGTTGTGTAAAGTCTTGGGAGTAAGTGCTAAAGTTATGTTGAAATAAAATACTATTAACAGATATTTATTCAATGCTTACTAGAGGATGCAAATCTTATGTAGCTTATCTAATTTGTTCCTCTTGGCCACCTTAAGTAGATGTCTTTCTTTATTGTCATTTTTACAGTTGAAGAAAGTAAACTTCAGAGAAATGAAGTCACTTACCTGAAATCATACAACTACCAAGGGCTGAGGGCTTTCATTAAAGTTTTATTTTTTTGTTTTCCAAATCTACTTTTGCACCCTATTATAGTATTCAAAAATTTTAAACTTCTTCTAGAAGAAAGCCAGACTGTTTATTCTACTCCCTCTATACCAAAGGAACAGCAGATAGATGTGCACATGGAACATTCTGTTCATTCCAATAAGTCTGAAAATCCTGATGTTGGAGATGACATTCTTTGAAGTCGTTTTCCAAGTGTAGGCAGCTACTTTTCACTCAAAACTATGCAGTTCAAGTAATTGAGTTCTCAATTTTCTTGCATTAAAAGTAACCTAGGGCGGCCAAAACCTTGGGTAGATGAAGGGTTTTCCCCCCTCTTCTGTTTTCCTCAAGCTTCAAAAATGCACTTGCCAAAATAATGTGATTTGAGCTGCTCTTTAAATATTTTTACCAGGTGAGGAATTGCTGGTACATTCCATCTTGTCAGTAATGATTTCACATTTGTCACTCTCATCGGGTAGACTGTCCACGGACTGCGGACCATTTTCACACTCATTTTGGATACTGTTTGGTGTTATTTTCATTCAAGGGCAGGCTTGGAACCAAGCAGATTATTTCATAGACTTGGAAACTATAGGGGGATGTAACGAATCTTAGCCTTGATCTGGGGCATTTCTGATGCAAAGCTTTGTCTATCAAAAAAATCTGCTCATTATATAACCAAAGAGTGAGGGGACTTGACCATTTCCCTCTGGTTCAGAGACCCAAGCCTCATCCCTTTGTCCACAGGTAGTTGTAGATGCCTTCCTCTGACTTGAGAATTCTGGCTTGCTTAAACTTTCTGCTGTTCAGATAAAAAACAGCAGCAATTTTCTGCTTGAATTTCTCTGTGACTAAGTCCATTGATCATCCTTTCTCTCTGTGAGTGAGAAGTGTGTTTTCTCCTTAATAACTCCTATCCTTCTCCCTGGATTTTTTTTTTCCCCCTTCGCTTGTTTGTGTTGTGTTGGTCAGTCCTACGCGCTATTCCTCTGAGAGACAGAGAGCGCGCAAAATTGAAGTTATTTTATGCTTGGGCTCCCTCGGTCCCAATTTTCAAATCTTCATGTCAATTTTCACACATCAGTGTCATGTGGTGAATGTTATGGAAATTTCAGTGGGGTCCTTGGGAGGAAATTTATACACGGATCCCTCCCCCACAACACTATCCGGCTGCAATTCCTGTCTTTTCTAAGAATAAGTGGATCTATAATTAATGTGGATTTTAAAATATAACGGCATTCAGAATTCTCATAGCAGGTTTTCGACGCCATGTCTTCTTTGCAGTATAAACACAAAAGCATAAATGCTTGCTAGCTCTCTCTCCTAATAAATGGGCTTGTGTAAAAGGAATAAAAATTACAGTTTGTTGGCTGTAAAGAGCAACTAATTACTCAGGAAGAAGCATGTTTTTATTTTTCAAAACTGCACTGAAAATGGTTTATCATGCAATAAATTTGCTAATCACCAGTTAGGAAACACAGCGCCATCACCACCTACCCACAGCGGCTTCCTTTGAAAGTTGGTATGTTACAGTTTGGATAGGAAATTATATCCTTTTGAAAATGAACATGACAGAAGACGTTCACTGAATAGCTTAAAACTCCTCAGCAGTCAGAATTCAAACTGCATAAACAAGAGTGTGGATATTGGTGCCAACAGACAGCAACTACTGACCTTGGATTTGCTTGGTGAGCAGACCACCCAGGACCCCTTCTCATGAAGACAGGTATTCATTTCCTTTTGCTCTTTCCCTTTTAACAGTGAAAGTGGAAGACCCCCAAATGAAGAATACAAGGTTGGCCTTAATTTTTTCACTTTCCTTTTCTTCAGCCCCTCGCCATCCTATAAATGTTAATTTCTTATAGATTTGCCTTACATTTTTCCAGAAGAACCTGGAGAACTGTCTTCTCATCCAGAACTGTAGGAGTCCAGCTTGATGAACTTGAAACCATACAAACCAGTAACAGGAATATCTTATCCCTGCTGCTGGCCCACTCTCTTGCTTCGAAGGTACTTGGCAATGACTTTCGTATTGTTCTCCCCAGAAAGGACATCCATGGACATCCTCATCAATGATCATTGCTGTCTTCCCCTGTCTCCATGTTTTTCTTGCCATTACTCTGTCATATTTCCTTCTAAGACTTCTTAATATTAAAAATTATCTCATTGATTTGTGTGTTTATTGACTTATTATCTGGTTCGCCACTGGCAGGTACCTTCAGTGAAAGAGGAAACCTTGTGTTCTTTTTGTTGTTGTTGTTGTTTTTTGAGGAAGATTAGCCCTGAGCTAACTGCTGCCAATCCTCTTCTTTTCGCTGAGGAAGGCTGGCCCTGAGCTAACATCAATGCCCATCTTCCTCTACTTTATATGTGGGATGCCTACCACAGCATGGCGTGCCAAGCAATGCTGTGTCCACACCCGTGATATGAACTGGCGAACCCCAGGCTGCTGAAGTGGAACGTGTGCACTTAACTGCTGTGCCACTGGGCTGCTCCCGAAACATTCTGTTTTGATCAGCTCAGTATCACCAGATCTTGGTCAGACGTCGGGCACAGAGTAATTTTCAATGTATACTGAAGGGTTCAACAAATGAATGAATGAATGAATGGACATTTTGGTTTTTCATCCCTACCTCAAAAAGCACAGCATTCATTAACCATGATGTAGCTGACTTGCCACCCCTCAAACATAGGGGTATCTAGAGGTAAGGCACCTTTGGGTTTAAAAGTTGGGAGGAGGTGTTTGTTTAAGCTTTCCTTTTGACTAGAAGGAAGGAACAGTAAATTTTGTGGTCAACTTTCCTTTCTTTGGAGAAAATGCATTGTGTGGGAAGCTGGTTATTAGGTCTGATTGGTGGAAGGTCACCAGGTCACCAGCCCTGGCTTGCAATGGCCTGGTGTCTAAGGAGAAGACACTCACAGGCCAGGAGACTCCAGTGGCAGCACTCCCACCGGTGGCCCCACACAATGGAGTCTTGGATCAGTACCTTTCTTAGATGTACAACTGTGAGCAACTCACTCAATTTCTTCAGTTCTCAGTTGTCTTGCCTGAAAATCACCATATAACCCCCTACCTCACCTAGAGTTATTAGAATTAAATAAAAACACGTGTCCAACACTATTTTGTAAACTACTGAGGGCCATACAAATATTTTGGCTGGTTTGATATAGAAGAAATGGTCAAGGATATATTAAAAATGAAAAGACTGTTCTTTTGTGTGACAATTTTTGTCCCGTCTGTACTATAAGAAAGATAGGTAAGAAAGTCACCATTTTATAGATCAATAAACTGAGGACTAGGGAAGCTGTGTCATGCTTAGCATCATAGATAATACTGTCTATCTTTGCATCTGGAACAGGCCCCAGATCTCTAGATGATTAGTGCGGTAATTTTGTTTCTAGATGGTTGCAGTAATTTCTGGTTCTCTTTCCACAGGAGCTGTCGCTGGGGGCACTGGTTCATCAGAGCAATGCTGTGGTTGGGTCTTGGGCCTGAGAGTCGATCAGCCAAGTTAACAGGTTTGGCTTGACATGGCCGAGTCGGAGGACAAGCACACATCTGAGTCCAGAAGAAAAGCATCAAGAACAACTCTAAATTCAAGGACAAACTTGGATCAGGAATGGCAAATCAAGTCAAATACTAGAGTCCGGAAGAAGGTATTTTTAGAAAGAGAGGCAGACAGAATAGCCAGGACAATGCAAAGAGGGTCCAGAACTTTCCACATCAATAACCCTGAGATGCCCCAACATTGCGGTTGCGGGTATGGTAGGCTATATATTGAATAAGTGGCCCAGGCTGATCCAAAGGTATGGGGCAGCAATAGGAACTATGCTTCTCCATAGATTCTTCCATAAAGACAGGAGCCTTTTATTAGTTTGAGGGGCTTCCTGTAGTAAAAGAGTTATGGGAGAGGCAGTAGCAAAGACACACCCCTTGACCACAATGTTGCCCCCACCCCAAAGGAAGACTTTCCTAGAGTGGATTTGATGTCTATGGACATAACCTGAAAAAGACAAATCGTTTTGGGAAACACTAGTTTGAAGAAAATTAGATGCAGGATTTCTCAGAGCCTTTAATAGTTTAATACTCATTTAATAATAATTGTGGCCATTAAACAGGCTCCTTGAATTTTGAAGAGTAGTTCACCGACGGATTTCGCGAAGAGTGTGTGGTATTTCCTAAATGCACTTCAACACCAACACACATATTTTTCTAGAATCTCTTGATAGAGTAGTGTTCCACAGGATGTAGTTTGCTCACGTTGGTCTAGGTAACCTGTTACACCGATTTAGGTAACTTTTTTGTATACGGTGAATGAAGTCACACTGCAGTTATTGTTTTTCCTTTTTAACTCATTTCATCATTACCGTCATTAGGCTGCAGTCCATTTAACCCTTTGATTCATTGTTTCTCTGTGAAGTGTAGGCAGCTTCACGGCGACAGAAAAAATAGGACAGAGAGAGAATCATGTCTCAGGGTCAAAGTAGGCGTATTGATCTACCTAGAGCTATTCTGGAATGTTTCTGTTTCCTGTTCTCATTTACACTCAGAGAAGTCTTCACGGTCCAATGGGTGAAACTCGGTTAAAATGTGATAGATTCTTTTGATTTTATAGGATCAAAGAGGCTTTCTACTCATTAAACTTCTCACAGTAACATTCTTTCTTAAGTCTGTTTTCAAATTTAAGAGCTCAGGGGAATGGAGTTTGCTGAAAGTCTATCATTTAGAGAATATCGAAGCTGCATTACATTATGTCAAGTTCAGTCTTCCCATTGCTCCATTTTGATTCTCCTCCTATGTAATTATTGCTTGGAGAACAAGCAACTGACCTTTTCCTCCTTTCCTGTTTCAGCACAAAAAGATGGAATTAATCCTTTTACATGA